GCTAGAGTCAGATTCTGCTGCTCTTGTCCGTATGGGGGGTGAATGTACTGAGCGGGACCCACCGTGCCCCCAGCATAACCTTGGTGGGAGTGGTGATGCTGGACCATGGAAGATGAGATAGTTCCAGAGTAAACGGCCGGGGTGCATGGGGGATACCCTCCACTTACATCTGCTTCCTGATTTAGTGCGTAGTGACTGTAACCCGCGCTGAAGTTCTGGGTGCCATATCCCGGGCTACAGCTAGAGTGCGAGTAGGACATGCCCAGGTTGTTGTGATGCTGGTAGGCACCGGTCTGGTGGTGGTGATGGTGGTGGTGATGGGGACTTATCTGGACCCCCCTACCAACCATAAAGCGATCGTCCCCGTTGCAGTTACTGGCAGTGACCGCACAGGACTGGAAAGTTGTAATCCCATGATCTGGGGGAGGATAGGCTCGGGAAGAGCATGCCCCGGACTCTCCGCTGAGGATGGGGTAATCGAGGAAGGAACTCATCCTCGCCGTGTCCATTTATCACCGAGTGACCGGGTCTTCGGAGTCCTGGGTGACCGTGCCAACTTTCTCACTTCCTCCATGGGGCCAGGAGAAAAATGATATGAATGTACAGTGAGAGGGGGACACGTGAGGGCGGCAGCCAATGGCTGAGCCTCCTGCTAAAATTTCCCTGCTCCTGCTGGTGATGGATCACCGTTCCAGTGGCATTTAAATTCCGAGCGCTCCTCCATCAAGGTGACGCGGAGCCACCACCACCTCCTCTCGCCCCCCCCCCCGTCCCCCTCCCCCCTTAGCCAGTGGATTGGGGCTTCAGAGCCGGGGCCAGAGAGACAGTGTGAGCCCAGGCGCTCAGCCTGCAGCAGCTGACGCGGAGGCGCCTCTGGAGGGGGGTGGAGGGGGGGTGCTCCTGCTGCATGGATTACAGGGCTCGGAGACCCAGCTGGAGGAACCCAGGTAAGACGGGCGCTCCCACGCTTTCTGCTCGCAGAACAGTTAGTGGCCGCTCCCTTCCCCGCAGCGCGCTTGGGAGGATTTCTGCCACTATCAGCACCGCTCCGGGGGGAATCTCCTTTACGGATGGCTCGAGAATGCACCGCTCTTGCTGGTGCGGTCAGGACAGCCCGTTCCCCCTGCCCCCCGGCTGGCTGATCCTTGTGCGGGGCCCAACTGGACGGGCAAGCGGGCTGTGCAGAAGGGAAACCCGCGCAGCATTTAGGGGCTGGAGGCATGCGGCGGGGGGGGGGGGGGGGAGGGGAACACGCCTGGGTGTCCCCTTTCCGGGAGCCTCCGCAGAGCCCCGCGCTCGACCAGCCAAGAGTTAAAGGGGCTTGTCCATCTCCGTCCCCATCGCGCCGATGTTATTAGCATGGAAATGAGGCGCTTTTGTAATTTAACCCCATTGTGCTGCAGGCAGGCGGGCTCGCCCGGCTTCTGCCACCGCGCCCAGGCATGGGGCGCGGAGCGGCCGGAGCGCTGCTGCAGCGGCCCCTATTTGAGGCTCTGCCCAGCTAACCAGAGGTTACGTGAGCTCAGTCGGTTTCGGGGCTGGGGAGGGAGGACTGAAGAGGGGGCAGGAAGATGGATGACGATTGCAAACGGGGGGGGCAGGCAGGAAGCTTTTCCAGGTTCTGCAATCCATCTGCTGGGGTCCCGCGGCTCCCGTGCCACACACACAACACACACACACACACAAACACACACAATGCGTGAGATCTAGGAACAGTTCCTAACGATAAACACACCCAAGCACCGGATGACATGCCCAGGGGTAAGGGGGTGGGGGGAGAGAGAAGGAGGTGAGGGGCCACTGCAGTCCCTAACTCCAATTAATTCTCTTTGTCACTTGGTGGCTGCGTACTCCACCACAGAGTATACAGAGAGTAGAGGGGAGAGTAAACAGATGGCTGCTGGCAGAGGTGTCCCCCCCACATACACACACAGCCTGTGTGAGCTATCTCAGAATTTACTAAAACTTTCTCTTGTTCCAGACAAGGAAAATAGAACTGATGTATAGAACAGCATGGATGATAGTTGGTATTTGCCATTGATTTCCCATTCACCTTATCTATTCAGACGGTGTATACAGGCAGTTACAGAGCTAGTCAAACATGTGCAGCCAGCCACAGAACTTCGGAAATAGTTTTATTCTTGTCTTTTTCAGCCTGGCGAACAGTGTGTGGATTTATGCAGATGCACTTCAACTTTGGCAGATTTTGCATTGTCACCATGCCCGATTGATTGTTGTTTATATTTTAAAATATAAAGGGCTATTTCCGCCTTGACTCTCCAGCCCCCTCCCTCCAGCCACCCACACATACTAAGTGCAACATCCTCTTCCAAGTGATAAGCCACCAAAAGTGTTCGAGGCTCCTATTAGGCCACCCATGTATCCATTTCACCTCCACAGCCCCCCTGACGCCACCGAAAAACGAATATATGTTCCCCCGTCCCAAGTGTATCCATAAAAAGATTTGTCCTTCTATTTTACAGTTTACAAACATGCCTAGATAACAGCCGTTTGAAAACTTTCGATTTCTTAAAATCCGTGGGAGTGGGAAGTCCAGCAAGCATATATGGAACGATGCTCAACCTTTTTTGGCTGCAATATTGTCTTATTTAATTCTTGTCAATCAGTTGTGATAAGTGCTGTATAAATCAGGTGCAAACACAGGCTGGTGTATCTGTTTACTATAAAAGAGATGGCTTTTTCCAGGGTGGTTTTTTTCACTACTTTAACGATTAACAAAACTGTTTAGTATACCGTATATGTATAATTTATTTATAAACAGCGTTGATGTTATACCATCACATTAAAAGAACAGAATTGTTTACTAAAAGAACAGCAAACTTCTCTCTATTTAAAATCAACATATCTGCAAATCTATCTGCGCATAGAATTCCTCTCTATATATTTACCCGTAATTTTTGCCAAAGAACAGCTCCTATGCTTCCTTTAAATTGTTTCCCTTCATTTCTGTACTATTGTTTTGAAGAAATCCGCGTCTTTTGTTACATTGTCTCTCCTCTAATGCCTCGAATTCTGCTGCCATTACAGAGCCTCAGTGCAACATAATGGGAAGGGGACACATCACGGGTAAATACCTCTTCATCCCCCCAACGAGAAAAGTTGCCATCGGACACGGTCGCAAATGCACACAAAATTCAGAGCTGTGCTATTTTAAAAGTCAAACCTTTCTGCTAGCCCCCACCCTGCCTCCTTTGTTGCTTCGGTCCATCGTGGTTTGCAGAAAGTCGAGTTTGCATCTCCAGCAATTCAAGCCTTTGAAGCATTTCTGCTGCCTGATGCACATTCTTGGGACATTCCCCAAATAATACGCTATGTGTCTCGCCCCCGCCCCCCCCCACCACACACACTCAAGATTTAGGGGTTACAATGAGTTTCTTAGAGAAATTCTATCTCAGATAGATTCGCAGATATTGATTTTAAATATATCCTGAGAGACGTTTACTGGTCTTTTACTAAACAATTCTGTTCATTTAAGATGCTATGACATCACTCTGTATATACATCATATATAAATATCTAAAAGCCAATCATATATTAACAATTAAATCCCATTGGAACCCTGTAACATGCGTTAAAATACTCGACGAAACTGCCCTCTGACCAAAGCGAAAGTGCTGAAGCAGCGAAAGAAAAGAAGCAGGGCCGAGGTTTTTGCGGCATCCGCAGCTTAGCCAATCTGTTGTTTTAAACGAGCAATAAAAATGAATTATGACTAAACGCCTTCGAACTTAATGGTTTTAGACGGGGATCCCCGGCTTCGGCAAATGCGTAAGAGGATTTTTATTTGTGCATGTGCTCCTGCCATTGATCTCTTTGATGACATTCTCATTCATAGAAAGAGTGTGATTTATGAGTTTAGGAAGAATTGCATCCAACCCCTTCCAGCTATTGCCCACGCATCTCAGCTCCACAACGTGTTGCGGATCAGAGAAACAACACACCTCAAATGAAATGGAAACAAACTACTTGAGACAAATGAATCCATTCACTGTGTTTCAGAAATATTCCGGAATACTCAAAATCAAGGGTCGACGGATATGTGGGCAGCAAAACTGCCTGCTAGCATCTGTTGCTTGGTTTTAGAAGAATAAAAAACGCTCACCTTCTGAACTGGGTGATTAATATCGATAATATTCTTACCAAATTAGCTGGAATTTTTAATGTGCTTCTTTACTGCTGTAATTGAGGAAGTAACACATTTTGGACAGTGGGCCGCTGAACTGGCTCCATTGAAATTTAAACATGTTAACCATTAGCTTCCAGTTTTAATGATCAACCCTTGGCATCGCAAACCGGTTTAAAAAGAAAGGGATTTTTTTGTTATGGGACCCCCGCAGAAATCTCCGAAAGAATGGCTCTAAGAACTTAAGTCCGTCCTAAATGTATTTTTACACATAATAACATTTTTTTTATTTCCTCTCTTTTTTAGATTTATTTTCTTGGGACCTTTCAGCACATGGGAGCTAATCCAAGGCGTACTTTGTTAGCATTTGTATTTTTAAAGAAGTGTTTCAGAAAACGACTTGCTGGACACCTAACCGTTGAGTTATAGAAAAATATGATGCTTGAAATGAGCCAGTTTCTATAGCAGGCACGTTCCCCATTTACAATAGATTCTATTTTGTCTGTAACCGCAAAGCTGCATATATATGGTGTTTGTCACAGTTTAGAAAATGCAAGACTTGTATTCACACATAGAATAACGTGTTATGTGTACATTAAAAGGAAGAAATCTTTATGTGAACTCTGTGGGTGTTTTAGTTATATTTGTTTGTGAGAATCATCGGGTACTTTGATTTGACTTATGAGAACCTTTGCAATAAAGAATTTAAATGTGATTTTTTCTCTCTAATAAATATATTAAATTACCAAAAGGAGTGAGATTGTGACCAGAATGTCTTAATTTTATTTCTGATGTTAAATAAAGGGGGGGGGGGAAAGTACCCGTTATGGTCTGAGTCTAGAGAGAGAGAAGAAAGTTACTTGTAGCAAACAAGAATTTATTCTACCAAAAATACTTATGACAACGCATCCTAATGTAATACAAAAATAAAAAGAAAGTGAAGATACAATTCTATATGATCACTTTCTTACAGGCCTCATATATTGCTTTAATAGAGGGACCTAGAATGTGGCTAGGTTAAACTGAACACAACTAAAACTTCATAAGAAACAGTAAAAATGGCTCTGGAACACAGTAAAGGGAATTAATAAACAGAAAATACTGACCAGGAAAAGAAAAATAAAAGAAAGTAATTTGAAACAAGCCATAACCCTTGGCGACAGGACGTCTTTAATTTCTCAATAATTCAGATGCTGCAAGTCAATTGTAGTGAGTGTGTCTGTAAAAAAGTCAAAACTGTCAGCAGAAATATCTACAGGACTGTCCAGAGATCCTGGCAAACTGGGTGAAACTGCATCTGAAAGCTGTAGGCAGGAATCTGTGGAGAAAACGTTAAAGTCCTGTAAAGAAGGGACATCTAGGGCCTCAGGACTGTCATTGTTCAGGCCAGCTGCACAGTTCTGGGCCATTGTTGGTAGGCAGTTTTGAACAGTGGGTGACTGATGCTGAAAATGTTTCAGATTTTTCTCATTGCTTGTTAAAGGCGAAACTGGGAAACTTTGGGACTCTCCATTGTGTACATTCTGAGCCTGCTGTTGAGATAGTGCATTTTGTTGAAAAGTGTAACCTTCCCTTTCCAAAAGAGCGCCTGAGACATTATTGAGAGTTTGCTCAAAGAGCGATTTCTCCTCCTCCTCTTCTGCTTTCTCGCTGTCCTCTAGATTCTTAAATTTCCCCTCACTGTTTTGGTTCTCCTTACACTGGGTCTGTCTCTTGTGCTTCATCCTTCTGTTCTGGAACCAGACTTTTACTTGTCTCTCAGTCAAATCCAGCAAAGCTGCGATCTCTACCCTCCTTGGTCTACAGAGATACTTGTTGAAATGAAATTCTTTTTCTAGCTCCAAAAGCTGGGTGTTGGTATAAGCCGTCCTCAGCCTCCTAGATCCACCGTTACCACTTTCGGGGATTTCATGAGACTCTGTAAAAACAGATAAATGCACAGTATGAATTTTAGCATCCCAGCACATTCCACCTCAGCGAGGGGAAAGATATATGTGTGTGTATATATATATATATATAGCATAAAATATCAACTGCAACAAAATGGCCGCCCTTGGCTGCAGTAAATCCATTGTGTTGCACTCCTGTGCTCCCGATACTGTGGACCCCCTTCCACCTCAATAAAATTATTGCATCTAGCTCCCAAACCTACCAGAGCAAACTTTATATTAGCCATACTACAATTTATAATTAATGCATCAGCTGCTTAGCTGAGCAGGAGCAATCTATCACTCTTCATTACTGTCAAATATCCTAACTCTAGGACAGCAAGACAAGAGGAGGTCAGCTCCAACTCAGATAAATCATCCCACATTAAACAAGTTAGGGAAAGTTTGGGGTTTTAATAACACCGTGGAGCCCACCAGTTTATTTCCTCCTCCTCCTCCAAATCATTTCCAGTGAAGTTGGGAAAGCAACAATCCAAGGAAAAGGGCTAGCTCTAGGGGAAAGTCTTTGAACTGACCTTTGTGGCTTAGGCAGGCTGGTCCAGTGGCTGAGGCTGAGGCCGAAGCAAGCGGGAGGGTAGTTTTCTTGGAGGCTTTTTTCTCTTTCATCCAGGGGTACTCCGGAGGCTGCAAGGCGCCGGCTGGCACCGGGCTGCTGCTGCTGACATTGGGGCTCTGCTTGGGACGGCTGCTGCTGGTGTGGCGAGGGTGGCTGCCTGGGTTCAGGCTGGGGATGGTCTGCTCAAAAGGAGGAGGAATCAGTGTCGAGTGTGAAAGCGTCGAGTTCTTGATTGATGAACTTTGAAATGTATCACCGACAGGGGGAAAAGATGTCAGGCACTCAGCAAGCGATGGCTGACTATTGATAAAACCAATCTCTCGCTCAAATTCGAAATTCATGGCCTTCAACTCGCAGCCCCCTTGGAGAAAAAGTTCCCTCTTATTGAGGGTTTTTGGGGGGAGGGGGAAAGGCCCAGGAAAAGGAGAGAGAGAAGAAAAATATATCATAGAAGATCGCTGGTGGGGTGTTTTTTTCTAATTCACTGATTACAGCCGTATGGGACCGTGC